GCGGAATGGAGTAGAAAAGGGAGGAAAAAAAGAGGAACGAAGGAAACATCCCAGAAAGGGGAAAAATAGAAAAATCATAAAAATTGTCGGGTAAACCCCCCGCGGAGATTAAATTACCGTGTACCCGTGATTGGCCGACTCCGTCCTGACGAAGGGGGTGGAAATGAAAAAAAAAAAGAAAAAAGGGGGGGAAAAATGTATATATTTAGAGGGAAAAGCAAAATTCAAGCCCGAGGCGAGCTTTCCCGGGCCAGCCCAGCCGTAACTCAATCAGGGGCTGCGACAAAAATGACGTCGCTCCCCAATTAAGCCGTAAAGGGGTAAGGGGGGGCGGGGGGTGTGGCTCCTTTCTACCCTCCGAAATTCGATTAGCGTCCACAATAGCAACCCCCGGTGGCCGATGAACGGCCATCTTGCCGAGGGTGCGGAGGAGGGAAAGTCGCGACAATTTCCCCGGAAAATCGCGAGATCGCGGCTCGCCCTCCCCCCGTCGGCGCGACCCTTTCTTTCGCCCCCCCCCTGCCCCTGCCCCATCCACCCCACGCGGCTTCTTTTTCCGGCCGGGCGAGCGTCTCGGGATTTTTCGAAAAAGCTCCGAGGGGAGGCTCCAAAGCGACGCCGGGGGTGCCGGCACAAAAGCCACCCCCGGGTCCTGCGAGCCCTCGCCCCGGCCGGGGGAAGAGGGGGAAGCTCAGAAAAGCGGAAAAGCAGAAAACCAGAAGGGGAGACACAAAGGGAGGCTCCTCCGCGGAGGGGGAGGGGGCGGGAAGGACGCGAGACGCGCACAAGACGGGGGCTGCCACCCCCTCGGCGCGACAACTTTCGACCACCCCCTCCCACCCTGGTATAGTCTGCCCCACGCAATTACTCACCCCCTTTTCCCCGGGCGCCGAATGCCCGCTAAACGATCGCACGGGAGAAAGGGCGGAAAAGCGATCAGGGGATGGAAATCGGACCGACCCCCTCTTCCCGGAGGGGGGCGTCTCCGGCGACATTTCACGGTGATAAACCCCCTTTGTCGCGAGCACCTGGTCATTTCGAGCCGTGGAAATAATCCCGGGGCCGGAGGGGGCGGAGGGCAGGGGTGAATTCCGCGCGATGATACCTCGGGTCAAAGGGGTGGATTCCGTAATGGGCGGCGTCCATTGCACCGGCGATCCCGGGTGGTAGGGGTTACTTTCGAAATTTCAGATATCCAAACAACCCTTTATGCCCGATCCAACCCCTCTGTCGGACCGGGGGGGCCGATATCGGATTTCCCCCGGTTTTCGGGAAGGGGCGGCCGGTTTCACCGCTCTCCGGTGATTCCGCGCTAAACGGCCGCACTTCGGACGGGCGGGGTGGAAAAAAAAAAAGAAAAACCGTGAAATTTGCTGGGACTCGGGTGGCTCTTATCGCGCCTGGTGATATCAACCAGACGCGTTTCCTTGATGATTGGACGGATGGGCCGCGACGATTCGCCTTATCAGTCGGGTATCAGAGGGACGGTCCTTGGACGATACCCTCGGTCCCCCATTAGCCGGGCAAACTCGACTCGAGGATAGCTCCTGGAGGAGTTATTTATCCTGTGGGAAAGCTCGGACCCCCCCGTAATGGGCCAGGGCCGTAAAACGTTCCGGGCAAACAGGGGGCTAACCGGTCGTTCCATTAGGCGCGAGAAACCACCCCTGCGATTTACATGCTACGAGGGCTTCGCTATCTCCCTCTCCTCTCGCTCTCCCAGAGTGTGAACGACGCTTAATGCCTTGGCACGGACCCACGAGAAGAACGTAGACAGGATACCGGTCATCGGAGACGAAGAAGGGGATGGAACATCCCCTGGACCAGTTAGAACTTTCGACGGAATTTCTAGGGGTTGCTCTTTCCCCCCCCGAAGAAATTCCCGACAGATTCTCCAATTTCTAATCACCGGCTCGACTTCCGGGAACTCGAGCACCCCTCCAGGAAATCCCCCGATTTTTAGGTTATGTCCAGAAGTGCACCCTCGCGCGGAAAAGGACAAAAAAGGAATCCTCGGGAAAATCACAATTATCCGCAATTTTAGAACTACTCGTCCCTCGTACCTTGACTGAGTGATAAGGAACCCTAACCATGTTACGCTGATTACAGCAATCCCTTTTTTTTGTCCCAAAATGGTTGCGATTCCCATAATTTTCGTTCTTTTTTCACCATTCTTTTATTTATTTTTTTTCTTTCTTCTCCTCGCGATCTCCCGAGGAACCCCTTATCACCGCCTCGCGATTCCGCGTTGATTGATAACCGCGCTCGGGGTACCCCCTCTCATTTTTTCTTCTCTCCCTCCCTTTTTCGCCCGTTGTCGTTCCTTCATTTTTTTTTTCTTCCCCCTTTTTTTCTCTCTCTCTCTTTCTTTCCCCGCGCAGTGCGCACTGGCACCCGGCCAACGCGTTGCGGCGGACTTTTCCGCGCGGAAATCCCGAGTCCCGAAAAAAATTCGACGGGCCTTTGAGGGGGTCGTTTGTCGACGGGGGCTAGTTAATAAACAATAGTCCCCGCTCGTTAATTGTTAGGCGCCGAAATATACTTAAGGAACCGCGGGCCAATTACCGCGGTTCATTTTCCGCGGCGCGGATATACCGGACTCGGTGATCGGAAATGAAAAATCGGAAAATCGGCAGTGCGTTCCCTCCACCTCGTCGTTTCGCGTCCTTTGGCTCGGCTGTTTCGATTATTCAGGCGACTCCGCTCGCGATAACGATCCGCCGCATTTAACCCGCTCGTTTCTCCGCTTTTCCGCGTGCAAACGTCCCGCACGGGACTAACGACTGACGGCGTAGAGACGGCATATCGCCGAGGAATTAAGGGGACATGAAAGGCGCTAAGAAATTTCATCGAGCTCGATAAAGTGAAATTCATCTGTACCCCTTTTTTTTTTTTCGTGGCAATGCCGTTTTGAATGCTCATGACACTTTCATATCACCTTAAGCAATCGCGAGTCATGCGTCAAAATTTCTGACACTCCGATTCAATACGTACAATAAAAAAATGGCTTATCAGAATCGCCCGATTTGAGAAGAAAAATTTTATTAATATTTTGACGTTTTGGTATGGCTACATGACACTTTCATATCACCTTAAGCAATGGCGAGTCATGCGTCAAAATTTCGGACACTCCGATTCAATACGTACAATAAAAAAATGGCTTACCAGAATCGCCCGATTTGAGAAGAAAAATTTTATTAATATTTTGACTTTTTGGCATGGCTACATGACACTTTCATATCACCTTAAGCAATCGCGAGTCATCCGTCAAAATTTCTGACACTTCGATTCAATACGCACAATAAAAAAAATGGCTTATCAGAATCGCCCGATTTGAGGAGAAAAATTTTATAAATATTTTGACTTTTTCGTATAGCTACATGACACTTTCATATCACCTTAAGCAATCGCGAGTCACGCGTCGAAATTTCGAACACAGTGGCTTATCAGAATCGACCTATTCGAGGTTTTCCCTTCGCCTTAATTCTGGAGTCGTCGAAGAACGAGTCGAGAGTCGAAAAAACCGGCGCGAGAAAAAAAAATAGAAAAACCATACAATTTGGAAAATCCGCCCGGAACTCTGGAAAAAAGGAAGATTCGCCGCCGCGCGGCCAGAAGATCCTGGGGTTACGGAAAATCGCATAATCGTAAAGACGGGGGGGGGGGGCGGAATGTCGTTACTTCGTCCCGAACCTCCACGTTACACCCCCCGCACCCCCGCGGCTTTCCAACTTTTATGGAAGATTTCTCGACCGCATCAAAGTCCGGGGGTAAAACATAAAAGATGAAATACGAGTCGGCGAGCGCGAAGACTCACGCGAACCACCCCCGTGTACTCTTTTATTTTCGCCCCCGACACCCCCCCGCGCTTTTTCCACCTTACTTTTGCACCACCCCCCTAAGCCCCCGCCGGGAGATCGCGTGAATTTTTTAAGCGACAAGAATTAGTTCCTCTCTCTTTAAATCCGGATGGCAGGGAGAGGAGCGAAAGGGGGGTTGGTTTCTCCCTATCTCCTTTCAGGGGTGCTAAAAGTTCGGAAAGTTTTTCAAAGGCTCTGCAAAGGGGGGGGATTAGCGAGGGTGCTTCGCCGATCATCGGATTCGCGTTTAACTGGGAATTTATCTGGCACCTGTTCAGACCGTTCCAGGGGGGCGGAAAAAATTCCTGCGTAAGAGGGGTGGAATAAGAGAAACGATTCCTAGGGGAAAAATCGAAGGGACTTTTCAGATTCGAGACACACACTTTTCCCAAAACCCATCTCCCGAATTACAGGGGGATCGTTTCGTCTCGTGGAGGAAATTTAATTATTAAAAAAGAAAAAAAAGAAAATTCTACCGGAATTTTGTCACTCTTCGCGGGAGTGAACGCGGCTCTCTCTCCTCTCGAGGTTTTCCCGAATTAACCCGGGAAAACACACTTTTCCGGTCGAGTTTTCGCGCGTCCTGCAGGATCAGAGACGTCGCCGGTCCTTTCGGCGCAAAAGGGAGGATGAGAAAGACGTGGCAAAGAGTGCAGGGGGGAGGGGTGGGAGGAAAATGTTTAAAAAATCAGAGATTCCCCCGGCCTCTCCACCCTCTTTCTGGCCGAGTTTTCCGCGGGCATTTCGACGGTGTCGTTTTTCCCCCCTTTCATCCCACAGGACCTCGGCGTGCAGCTTCATTACGCGCTCCAGGACACGTTGAAAGACCTCGCGCCCGGCCGGACCGTCCACCCTGTCCCACCACCCTCCACCCCCCTCGCATCTTCGTCTCCGAAGAAAGAGCCCTACGCTAATTAGCGCGGCATTACGGGAATAATTGCACCGGCGGTCCGCTCAAATCGCGGTAATTGCGCGTCCCGGGGATCATTTTCCTCACTCTTCGTGTTCTTATCCTCTTGTTTTTTTCTTTCTCCTTCTCCGTGGAGGGAAAAAAAAAATTCGGAAAAAATAATAAAAGGAAATGGAAGACCCAGGATCGCGAGATTCAGGACGGGGAGGGTGCAGGGCGCGTCCACTAACCTGATAGTCCATGTAGTTCCCGTAACCCATGTGGTTGCAGGTGCAGGCGCACGCCTGAATGTGTCTCCGCATGTCCAGCTCGACCTCCTCCCCGCAGACCCCCCTCGAAGTGGCCATCATCGTGTCGCCCATGCAGTACCCTCCGGTGCAGTACATCCTGGGGTCGCTCTGGTCCAGGTATCCTCCACCGGTGTCGTCGTATCCCAGCCTACTGGCACACCTCGAGTCCGTGGTGTACCCCACCCTGGACTGGGGTCGGTCCTCGTACCCGAGCCTCGACTGAGGCCGATGGAACGACGGAGGAACATCCTGGACAGTGGGTAACACGACACCGGTCAAAGGATTTACATTTTCAGATTCACCGAGCCCTCCGCACATTAATCCACCCTTTTCGCGAGAAGTGGGGTAAGGAGATGAAACGCCACGTATCGAGATCCTCCCCTATTTAAGGGGCCAGGATCTGAGGATTTCTTCGGATTAAATCCTAAGAGAAATTTTGCGATTGAAGATTATCGTTAAGACAAACGTTATCGCGTTGGAAACATTACATTCCGAGTATCACGCGCGGATTATCGTACTTTACGTGCCATTATCGCCAAATTAAAAGCTCTTTAGGTAATTTACATCTTCATGTAGGATCGGAGTTCCCTCATTTTCCATAAGAATTATCGTTACAATAAACATTACCACATTAAAAACATCACATTCCGAATATTACGCGCGGATTATCGTACTTTGCGTACCATAATTGCCAAATTAAAAGCGTTTTACGTAATTTACATTTTCATGTAGTATCGTAGTTCCCTCATTATCCGCAAAAATTATCGTTAAAATAAACATTATCGCGGTAAAAACATCACATTCCAAGTATCACGCGCGGATTATCGTACTTTGCGTACCATAATTGCCAAATTAAAAGCTTTTCAGGTCATTTACATTTTCATGTAGTATCGTAGTTCCCTCATTATCCGCAAGTAGCGCTCGCGTCGTTAGACCTTGTAAATCCAGGGTCCGGATTCTAGGTCCAGTTTCTATGAAACCAACCATGGGCGTTACGTCTCCTCACCCTACTTCCCAAATCCCTCCATTATTTCATTCCCTTTGATTTTTCCATTTTTCCGATTTTCCCGATTTCTCCTTTCGCGCCCTATCGGTAGATAAAGGGTCCGTTCGGTGGGCCGAGCGATTCGCATCCCTAATGGGCTCCGCCGAGATCGATCCGCGCCCCCTCTGTCTTTCCATCCCCGTAGGTCCTTCTTTTTCCCTCCTTTCCCTCCCGAGGCCCTCTCCCTCTCCCCCATTGTTGTTACGACCTCCTGAGCGAGGGGCCGAGCACTCGTCGAACATATTTTTTCCCTCCTCTCCCCCGTCAGCCGGCCACCCCCAGGACGTGGCCCAAAGAAAAAGGACCCGGGGGTTGGTCGGGGCACTCTCCTGGAAATTGATGAGACACCACCGGGACCACCCGATGTATAAATTACTTTGGTACCGCGCGTCCCACCGAGGGGTGCACCCGCCACCCCCGTCCGCAGCATCCCCCTATCGCCCCTAGTGATAAGGGGAAGAGGGAGAGGGAAAGAGATCCGAAGAAACGTTCAATTTCCCATTTTCTCCCGTCCGTTCCGTACCTCGGGAATTCTTATCACGAAATTCTTATCGCCCGCGGGCACCCCACCGCTAACCGCGAGCGTTATCTCCGGGGCCGATGGAGTTGTTCCTGAATTTCCTCCCGAAGGACCCCCTCTCCGAGGGTTAGGAGTCCCGGGGACTTCATTCCTTATTGAATCCGAGCGCTTTACAGGCGCTTCAACGGGGGGGCCGCGTCTACACGTATAACGGCAACAATAACACCCTTTTACGAGCCGCCTCGAACCCTTACACGATCCCCTCGTTAACGTTTAAGGGCCCCGTGGCCGTTATCGTGGGAGGGCGGATCCCACCCCCCGGTGATTTGCGTGCCGCGTTAAATAGAATTTCGAACCGACACCTTTCGATCGGCTCCCCGACCAGGCAGGGAGAATATCGAAGGGGAGAGGATCGACTCGGATCGAGAGTCGGCCTCCCCCAGGATCCCGTGAGAGCGGAGGGAAGAAATCGGACGGGAGGAGAGACGGCGTCCCTCGGGGACCCTCCCCGAGGAATCGATAACCAATCGGCAGGACCGTAAAAAGACCTCCCCAATTAGGTCGAATTTAATTACCGGCCGGTAATCCGCGAGAGAAGGGAGGCGTCCTTGCGCCTCTCCTGCCCGGAGTGTACCTTGACCCAGGTCAGGGACGCGGATCCCATCCCCGTGAGAAGGCGTCGCGCCCTGGGAGGAGGTTTCACGGGGTGAAATACGAGGCCAAGGAGGGGAACCTTGTACGTAGGCTGGAGGTGCATAATTTACCTGGGAGAAGGCGTCGTCCTGGAAGGGCGTCCTGCGGTGGCACTCGTCGTAGCACCTGCCGTCGTATCCGCTGGGAGGCCTCGGATAAGGATCCCTGACCTTGGCAGCCGCGGCACAGCAATCCGGTATCTGGGACTGATAGCTCTCGTATGGGCACTTCTCTACCGGGGCAGGTGTCCGGGGTACCTGGTGCACCCTCTCCTGGGGCCCGGTCCCGTATCCGCCCCCGTGGTTCATCGTTCCTTCCGAGCCCTGGGTCTCCTCTTCCACCTTGCGGCCTCCCCCGCGAGGATCGGCGATCGGCGTTATCCCTGGTTATCACCTGCGGTTATCAGGCCGCGACCCGGCCCCCCGTGGGCCTGGCATCTCCCTCTCCCCGGGTCCAGGACCATCCTCTGTCCCAGGACCTCCGCCGTCACTCTGCCCCCCGCGACCCCTCCGTCCCTCCCGGCATCTCGTCGCGTATCTCGAGTCCTGTAGAAAGTTAAGGGGAGAAAAAAAGAAAAATAGAGAAAAGAAATCTCTCGTCACACCTCTTCCTAAAATTCCGTCATACGCGAGTTCTTGAATTGTGCCCATAATTATGAAAGTGGTCTAAGTCAAAATTAAAAAAAAAGAAAATCAGTTTATCAGTTATTTCACGGCATATTATTTCAAACGAAATTAATTCAATGTAATTTCGAAACAAAGAATATATGACTTAGACCACTTTCATAATTATGGGCACGATTCACCCCTAGGCCAGAAATCCGGGAGAGATTCGAGCACGCACCCCGCCACCACCCTTACCTTACATTTTCCCTTCCCCCAGTCGGCGACGAAAGCGAGAAGAGCCCCAATTTACGGGGACGTGGGTAGAAAGGAAAAAGAAGAAGAACTAAAAAAAAAAGAAGAATAAATAAAGAAAAGAGAATTTTCCAAAGTCCAACAGGCAGGGGCTCGAAAAAAACGTACTCCCCTTCCCCTGCTGGAGACGGGATAGTCCCCCTTTCGCGGCACACTCCCCCTATCCTCGAGAGCTCGAATTCGATTTCGATTATCGATACAGGCGATTATTCCTCTCCCCGCGGCAGGTGTGAAAGTCCTCTAAATCCCCCAATACGTACTTCACCGCCCCCCCTCCTCCCTCCGAGGGATTCCAGCCTCCCTCGACTCCATCCCCCGAGTGGGTAAATCTCTTTTGTCTCTCGTCGCGAGCTGGTATCCCTTTTTTACCTAGACCGATTGCCCCCCTCCTAGCCTGTCTCTCTACCTCTCCGCCCCTCTGCCCCCCCCCTTCTCTCGATGTATTTTTCACAGGACTTTTTTCCACCGCCCCCGCGCGCTCTGTTTCCTCCCTCAAAAGGTCTCCCTCTGGAACGATTTCCCGATTCGTCCGGAATTAACCTCCCCCGGAGTCGATTGCCATTGACTAATTTTCACGTGGGGGCCCCCACCCCCACCCCCACCCCCAATGCGTGTTCACTCTTCACGCGTCGTTTCGGGCTTTTCAACCTTTTATCCTTTCGCTTCCTCATTGCCCCCCTTCCCGAGAGAGGGAGGGAGAGAAACCCTCTCTCTCTCGAGAGAAGAAGACGTAATGAGGAGGGGACGAAAATCCGAAAGAGGGTTTTCCTCTGATAAGAAGCGTCTCGCCGAAAAGGCACTTTTCCCCCTTCTCCCAGAGTACGTCGACCCTCGCGGGGGAGGGGAAGAAAAAAAGAAGCGAAAAAAGAGGTCCTCGGAGGTCCTGGAGGATAAATAATTCCCGGAGTTCTCGGAGAGCCGGCGACCTGGAGGACGCTTCTCCGGGAGCGAGAGGGAGAAAGAGCCCCTCCAGAGGAAAGCGGTGCCCGGAAAGAGCGTAGTCCCCCGGGACCCCCCTCGAAGTCGATCAAAGGTATCGTACTTCCGAAACCGACGCAAGACGCTCCCCGTCTAATGAACGCTCGCGAGGTTTTCCCGACCTCACCGATTTTTCCTCCCCATTTTCCACGCCCCATCCGCGAGGAAATGTGTAACATTCTCCTCTCTATGGGCACGTACACCCAGGGAAATGGGATCGCGAGGAGGAAAGTCCTCTCCGGAGGATCCCTTTGGTCCTGGGAAGGACATAAATCGCCTCCCCGAGTAAGCCCCCCTCCCCCCCTCCCCAGTTATCACACTAGGCGATCTGGATATCGGGTCTCCTGGCCCTGGGCCTATCTGATTTTCGAAACCTCCCCCCTCTTCCCTACGAGTTTTCCAAAAGGAGTTTCCTCGCCTCTTTTTCCTCCGATCCCGAGGAACCCTCTCCGGGGGAACGACGCCGGGAAGCGTTATCACGTCCCAGGGAACCCCTCCCCCCCGTCCACCCTCTCCGCCGCGACGTCGAGGGAAAGAAGTGGCGCCTCTTTTCCGTGGAGAATCGAGAGACCGCGGAAAATGGAAATTCGGAACTAACCCCTAGGCCCAGGGGCTTCCGGGGGAATTTCCCTTTGAAATTACCCACCCTCCGAATTGTCCTCCTCTTCCCTCCCTCCCATAACGGGACGAACTAAAGGAAACTCGGCGATAATTCCCCGCGCGAAGGCTAGAGGGACAGGGAAAATTTTCCCAAATTTCCCGACGATCGCGGTAACTCGCCAGGGGGGGGGGGGGGGGGGATGAGGAGGGAAGGGGATCCTCCCCGCGGTACGTCGTTTCGCTTAAGGGAGAGTGGAAAAGTCTGTACGCCATTTCCCGGGGGCGGCGAGGGCCTTTTCCGACTTTTCCTTCTCGTTTCCCTCCAACCAACCCCCTCCTCCTCCCCTCCAACCCCTTCCTAAACTTAGGTATCACCTTCTCTCTCCCTCCGTCGCCTCTTCCTTCTCTCTTGCGCGTTCTCTCTTCCCGTCTATGGGATCTCTAACGAGGTTCCGAGGCTTCAAAGGGGTTCGCGGGTGGCACCCCCCCGAACCCCCCCAACCCCCCTCGGAGAATCGATTCTGATCGAATCATGCGAGGCGCAATGAGTAAGTAGATGGTTATTCCTCTCTGGCCCCTCTCTCTCTCTCTCTTTCCGCCGCAATCTTGCCTTTCGTCTCTCTCCGTCGCTCTTATCGCTCGCAAAACGCACCCTCCCTCAATGAAATTATTTCCATAATTGAATTAAAAATTAGAGAAGCGAGAAAAAATTCTCACGTAGCCTTATCANGGGTGGAGGAATTTTTATTCCCGGAATATAACCCACGCTCTTCCCCTCTCTCAAAGGCGAGAGGATATATCACGGATAACGTGTCAAAGGTGATCCTCTTTCCCCGTTGAAACATTTAACGCTAAAAACCGCCGCGCCTGGATGATTCACCCCTCCCCCAAAATGATTACCCCTCCAGCCAGGATTAATTTCCCGATTTTCCCGTGGTATCTTCTTTTTTCCATTTTTTTTCTCTCTTCTTCTTCTCTCCCTCGCACTTTTCCCCTCCGTTTCCTCTCTGAAAAATTCCCGCGGGGGCGATTGCCGACCTCTTGGTTCCTTCTTTTTTTTTTTTTTTTAAGCCGGAGGAAGATCCGAGATGGGTTCGCGCCGATCGGAGGAATCCCGATGCACTCTCGAGGAAGGAGGACCTCTCCGATGGTCCAGAGAGAGGGAGAGAGGGAGAACCCTCGAATCCCGACGGGAGGAGAGGGAATCTCTCGGAGTCCGAGGGCTCGGGGGGTCCCGCGAGAGGGGGCGATCCCCCCGTGGTCCAGAGGGAGAGGGGTCCCTTCCGGGATCCGGGAAGTCGCTTGAGAATTCCTGGCGGGTCGCAGCCTCGCGGACGGGCCCTCTTTAAATTTACAGAGGCCTCGCCCGTGGGATATTTCTTCCCGGCGGGCTCGCGGATTCGATTTCGAACTCGATTTGGCGCAGTGCGCCCGCTCCCGTCGCCGCCGCGGCTCCGCTTTCCCTCGGGAAACGCCGATTGCGAATGCATCCTCTCCCGTCTGCCCTCCACCCGGGATTACGTGTACCCGGAGGTCCTGGTACCACCCCCGGCCCCGATTTGCAAAAATCCACCCCCCTGGAAATCTTCCCGGAAAGAAAAGGAACAGTCCCACCCACCACCCACCACCCCCCCAGCGAGAAATTCCTCTTATCGAATAAACCCGCGATAAAGAGGCCGCTTGTGCGCGATTCCCGATGAAATCCCGGTTTAGGTACACGTGTACATACACGGGTACACGTGTATATATATACATATATATATACATTAAGAGGCGCCCCAGATTTTTCCGCGAAAATAGGACGAAAGTCCAAGGGACCTCGAGGGTGGATCGCCGTCCTCGAGGACCCCGAGTCCTGCTTCATCCCTTTTCCTCTCCTCTTTTTTATATACATGTACACCTACACATGTCCCCAAGGACATCGCATCGAGGTTCCCTGGTCCTTGAAAAGGAGAACCCTTAAAAAAAATCACCCCCGCCAATTTCCGGGATTTCCACCGAAAAAAAAAAAAAGAAAATGAAGGGAAGTGGAAAAAATCCCCCAAACTCCAGATCGACTTCTAACGTAATGAAATATTTACCCCCCCGACGTTCTTTAACGGCGGCGTTTAACGATCGAGCCTCAAAGGCCGTTTAATTAAAAGTCCTCGAGAACCCAGGGACGAGCAGAGCTTTTCCCCCGTCCGATTGCGATTTTGGGTAATCGGCTATTACGCCCCCCCTGACCTCCCCCTTGTTGAAAAGCCCCGTCGAAAGCACTTCGTCCGTTTTTTTTTCCCCGTTAATTTCTCCAATTGAAACGACTAGTCTTGCTCGGACTGAATTACCGGATGGGGTTGCGCAAAATCGGGGGGAGGACTCCCCCCAAATCTTCCGGAAATAGGGGGTTGTTCCGGAAGGAGATCGTAACGCGAAAGATGCACTGAATTATAAGCTTTGTGAGGCGAAAGTAACGGCGGATTATATCTATAAACGTGTATAGATGTATATAAATGTACATATGTATACGTTCCACCAACGGATCCGCGGTGCCATTACGTTGCACCCTCTTCTTCGACCCCCTCTTCGGGGTAGTAATGTCGGCCGAGCATAAATTCCTTATTCCACTGATACCGCCGTAAAATCATATTTCGGAAACGTACGATCCACCTCGCGACGACTTTCCTCCGAGATTTACATTTTCCGCGGATTTTCCGCGTCGGGGGATGCGGCCCAACCCCCCCGGCGAAAATTCACCCGATCCATTATATTTGCCCTATTTATTTAATACCTTTTAAGGAGCATCGCTAATTATCGACCTGGTCGCAAATTTC